AAAGGAAGGGAGAGGCTGAAAAAATTAAAAAATACTCCAATTTAAAAAAAAAACTATTATGGCATGGATCTGGTATTTAGAATTTCATGTCTATATTGGCTTTCGGGTTAAGAATTAAAGGAATAAATGCTTAAATAAGCGGAAGTTCGTTAGGAGATGGTATTTATTTTACTGATTTATTCAAAAAATCGGCTAATTATGCTTAAAATGATGGAATTCATACGTAATTTAAATACTTACTTTTATGCGATGTGGCTATAGGCACACCTTTTGAGATTAAATAGTATGATTAGTATAAAGAAACAAATAATGTCATAGAAAATATACACAAATAATATAATAGTATATAATTAATAGGAAGTTAAAGTCCAGATGAAAAGCTTAATTTAGTACTTAATAATCGAACTATTATTCCTATTGGAAATATAGTAGATTTAAATAAAATTTATAGTGAAAAAAATAATAATAATTCTAAAATGAAACCTAATGAAACAAAAGAATAAATAAATATGCAACTAGATAAAAATTAAGAAAACATATAAGAAGATATAGGGGAAAATAAAAATGAAAATATAGAGGAATATTCAGATGAAAATATGGAGGAAAATTCAGAGAAAAATTGGAATGAATCTAATTCAAATGAAACTACTGTATAACCAAAATTATCTTTTATAGGATTCGGAAATAGAAGGCCTTAGAAAGTATAAAGATAATATAGTTAATTAGAATAATAATATACTTAGTTTACAGAAAGCGAATATACTGTTTATGATCCGGATTAAGTAAGAATAAGATATTTAGTAGTTGTAAAAAATAATAATAAAGAATACGAAGATTATTGAGAAAATGGTAAAAAATATTATTTTTATTAATTTTGGTTGAAATAAAATAATTATTTAAAATAAATATTATTTATTGCTTTTGTTTATTTTAAATAAAAAATTATATTTTTTTTTATAATATTTAAACATAAATAAATATAAAGAAAGAAAGAAATATATTTAAATATATATATAAAAATATTTAAATTAATAAACATAAATATATGATACTTATAAATATAAATCAAATATATATATATATATATATATATATGTATTTTTAAATAAATAGATATAATACCTATGAATATTTAAATTATAATTAAATATGTATAAATTTGTATATCTATAATTTATATAAATATGTATATATATATATATATATATATATATATATAAATAATTATATATATATATATATAATATCTATTAATATTTTATTTATAAATATATTTTTTTTATTTTTTATAAGAATTAGATATATTTTTTTTCTTTTATATATATTTTTTTAATAAAAATATAGTATTAAATTCATTTATTTTTTTTATATTATTAAAAAATGATTTGTGTTACATTTAAAAAATTTTTTTTAAATATAATTTTTTTTTTTATAGAATTTAATAAAATATAAACTACATTTTATTAATTTAATAATAATTTATATTTGTATTAATATAAATAAAAAATATTTATTCTTTAATAAACTATATATAAAATATATTTAGATATAAAATTTATATAAATTTTTATTATATTAATATTTATTTACATATATTTTTTTGTTTATACAAATATAAAAAATAATTTTTTTTATTTTTTTTTATATTTTTTTCTGATATTTTTTTTTATATATATAAAAAATTATTTATTATTATTATTTAATTATTATATTATAATTAATATTTTATATTTTTTCGACTTAATCCATACATACATTTTTATAATATTTTTTTATTGTATTATATTTTTATCTTTTATACAATTCAGCTTCTATAATCTTAAATATAAAGATTATATTTTATTAATTTTTGTTACTTTTCCATATTTAGTTTAAAATAGTTTAATAAACTTTTATATTTTTGTGAATTAATATTATTAATTGCTTAATTAATTTCTTTATATTCAGTATTTTACTATATTATAATAAGAATTATTAATTTTCTTAAATAACTTTAATTCTTCATCTATATTATACTTTAAGCATGAATAATTTTCTTTTAAAATTATACTTTTTTATTAATCTTTAAATATAATAAAATCTTTATTCAAATAAAAAAAAATATATAAAAAATATTAAAATAGTTTGTAAATAATTTTATAATTTTTTATATTTATTTTTTAAAAATTTTTAAAATTTTATATTGAGATTATAATTTTTTTAAGTTTAAAATTTTATATTTACATTTTGTTAGTTAAATGTTAAATGAGTTTAGTTTTTATTAAATTTATTTATAAATAAAATAAAATTAAACACATTATTAATTAAATAAATAAAAATAAAAAACAAATAATAATATTAAATTTTATTTATTTTTTATATAATTTTTTTATTTATATTTATATCTTTTTATTTTATTTATTATTAAATAAAATATAAAAATATTAATTTAATATATTATAATATATATATATTTATTAATAAATTAAATAAAATTTATATCTTTTTTTAATTAAAAAATCATTATAAATTTTAAAAATTAAAAATAATTTCATTAATATAATAATTGTAATAAAATAACAAAATATATTAAGAATAATATTAAAATATTTTTTTTATTTTGAATTAGAATAATTATATTTTTATTTATTTTTATAATTCATGTTTTATTAATTTTCATTTTAATTTTATTAAAATATATAAGAATAAAAAAATATAGAGAAATATAATATAACAATAAGAAAAACTATACAATTTTATGAAAATGTATTTTTAAATATAATTAAGGTAAAAAATATAATAGCATAAAGTATAAAGAAATATATTTTAAATATAATAATAAAAATAAAATAAAAATACATTTATATATATAAAAATAATGATATAAAAATTAATATGCTTATATATATATTTTATTAAACTTTTCATATGTATAATAATATAATAAAATTAAACTTTATTTAATATTATATTAACATATTTTATATATAAATATTATATATAAATATTGATTAAAATATTTAATAAATAAATATATATTAAAAAATAAATATTGAATCAAATTCTTATTAATATCATATAAAGATATTAATAATTTATAAAATTTTATAAATAATTTCTATAATTTTAATTATAAAATATTAGTTTATATTTTTTTTCAACAATAAAAAATAATTATTATAAAAAATATAATTATAATAAATATAAAATAATTAGTTTATTAAAACAAATAATATAATTTATAAATATAAAAAAAATAGATATAAAATCATAAAATTATTATAAAATATTTTTTGTTAATTAGGAATTATTTTATTATAATAAAAATAATATAAAAAAATATAATAATATAAATAATATTAACTATATAAAAATAAATAAAATAATAATAATAAAAATGTATAATATTTTAATTAATTATATATAAATTAAAGAAATGAAATATTCTTTTAAAAAATAGTGTAAAAATTATTAAAAACATATAAAATTTATTCAAAAATTATATAAAATAGGAAAATATAATTTAAATTTTATTTAGAAATAAATTAATAAAGAAAATAATATATATATATATAATAATAATTTAAATTTATATATATTATAAATATTTTAATTTATTTATATATATATAATATAAATATAATATAATTTATATAGAAATAAAATATTTTTTTATTAATTACTTTCAATAATAATTTAATATATTTATTTTATATATTAATAAAAAATCATTTTTATTTTTATAAAAAATATTTTTTATATATAATAATTTTTTTTAATATCTATTTATTTATAAATAATTGATAATATATTAATTATTATTTAATTTTTAAAAATATTTTAAATACAAAAATTATTATAGTTTCATATATATAAATATAATTTAATATAATAATTATTTTATAATTAATATTATAATTATTACTATTATTATTATTATTATTATTATTTTATTATTATTATTATTATATTTATATTTTTTATATTTTTCTATTTTTTTTTTTATTTTTATCATTATTTTTTTATTTTAAATGCTAATATTTCTATTAAAATAAATTTATGTATTAATTATTTATATATTTATTTTTTATGAATAATATAAAAATATTCTTTTTTATTCAAAAATATATAAATTTTATACATATTTTTTTATTTATATAAATTTTTTTCATTTAATTTTATTTAAAAATAAAATTAATTATATTTTTTTTTTCTAATTATTATTATAATTTTTAAAATTATTTATTTTTTTATAGTTAAATAAATAATAATGATTTTTTATTTATATTTTTCTTTTTTCAAATATTCTATTATAATATTTTTCTAATTTCTTTCTATATAATCAAATATATTTTATTTTATAATTATATGATAATAATATTATTTTTTTAATATAATTTCTATAATATATTAATATAATTTTTTGTTCCTTTTTATATTTAAACATAAAAAATACAATTTTTCTATATAAACTTTTTTGTATTTTTTATATATATATAAAAAATAAAAGATATAAATAAATCCTTATATAAATAATATAATTGATAAAAATAGAAAATATATAATTATTATATAAATATATATATATATATATATATACATATATTTATAATTATTGCTTATTTTATTTTAAATAAATTATAAACATTTTCAAAAAATTTTTCCATTAAAAATCAATGCCATAGTAACTAAAAGTCCTATACAAATGGTTTTATGTACTTTTTCATCTATATTTTTTTCAGAAAAGAAATAATCATTAATTTATTTTATTCCTTCTACTTTTTTTTCTTAAATGTTTCATAAGCAACTCTTCCACTAAAAAAATGTAAAAGACTTCCTGCTACAGATATACTTGCAATAATATGAGATTCATTACTTTTCCAATCAATTAAACTATAAATAGGTTAATAAATTAAAGTAATTATCATATTAAAGAATAAATAAATTTTCATAAAGGCTAATAAATAAAGTAAATGTCTCTTATAAAATTTAATTTAGTTAAAAATATTATCAATAAGTAATAAAAAGAACATTCCCCCATGTTCTGATATAGTCATAAACATATAATAATACGTCTTCTCGCGATCTATAGTATGATATATTGCAATCCAAAACATAACAGTAATTGTAAACTAAATAGAGTATGCTATTTCGAATATTACATGTGTAATTTTCCAATAATTTTTAGCAAATTTATTATTTTTCATGATCTTTAAAGATAAATAAAAGTAAATTACATTTAAAACGACACCCCATTCTGTTAAATATTACATATTTAAAAAAATGGCCCATGTAGAATCAAATTGATCTAAAATCCATATAAGTAAGCTGTATGCAAAACATACTTATCTTATTTTATAGAAACTTTCATCTGATATTAAATAAGATTTTGAAATGCTTTTTTCAGTAGATGTATGTTACCATAACCAACTGTGTATTTTATGTTAACTTTAAAGCATATATTTTTTTTTTTTTTTTAATTTTTTTTTATTGAATAAATTGATATTAAAAATAAATAAATTAAAATTTATATTGATGGTTTTTTTTAAAAAAAATTATATTTGTTAATTTTTCTTTTTTTCTATTGTTTGTCTATTTCATATGTTAGGTGTATTATATTATTATTATTTTTATTTTATTATATTTATTATCCTTTTTTGTTTGTAATAATATTTTAAGTTTAATTATTTTATGAGATATAATCAAATATTTTTATACTTATACATATTTTAGTAATATATAGATAAAAATAAACTAATGTTTTTTTTATAAAAAAGAATTTTTAAATAATTATAATTTAATTTAAAAAAAATATTAATTTTAAAATATATTTTCAAACAAAAAAATATAATCGAATCAAAAA